AAAAAAAAAAAAAAGACGAGGAGAAAAGAGTAAACAAAGCATATACGTGTACATGTACATACACAAGACAGCCTAAGATTTGGCTCCAAAATTCCAACTTGGGCAACTAATATGAAAATCGATTACAATCTTTTTAGCAAGGCCTGTTGTGACAGGACAAGAACTAATGGATTTAAACTAACGAAGAATAGATTTAGCATAGATATAAGGAAGACTTTACAATGAGGGTGGTCAAGCACTGGAACAGGTTGCCCAGAGAGGTAGTGGAGGCCCTGTCTCTAGAAACATTCAAGGTCAGGTTGGACAGGGCTCAAAGCAACCTGATCTGGTTAAAGCTGTCCCTGCTCACTGCAGGGGGCTTGGGCTAGATGATCTCTAAAGGTCCCTTCCAACCCAAAGCATTCTATGATTCTATGATTCTATAAAAAGTTTTGAGTATTTTGTTGCCCTTATTGACTTGTGGGCTTCAAACAGGAGCACTTCAGTGGTTGCTACAAGGCACACAGGCCTTCAGAAATTACACTGTTCATTCAAATGCCAAACTGTTGTGACAAATTTACTTTGAGGCAGATATTTTTGCAATATTGTTTCCTAAAAGACAAACTCAGCCTCTGTGTAAGTGGATGCAACTGCTATAAAGTCCAATTGCAATCCAAATAGAATTGGATGTACTTTAATAGCTGACTTCAATCCTATCCTTTGACGAGTTTTTTTCCTTGAGGATTTGAGGTATTTATAGGAAAGCATATTGTTATTTAGTGCTCTCACAGTGACTGTGAATCTATATACTTATACAAGTGTCATGATATATCTTATGTATTTATTCAGTAATCCAGTTCCAGATTTACTTCAGCACAGGTTTGAGATGCACACATGCAAGCTCACACTCATGCACACAAGCTAAAATTCCTTTAAAAAATGCCTGCCATTCATCAAAAACCACCTTTGTCTCTGTCTATATTTTCATATGGTGCCTACTTTTATAACACAGTCATTCATTCATTTTCTGCTTTCCTTCTGAACTTTTCAGCAGTGAGGAACTACACAATGAAAAACAATCATTCGTTATTATAATGAGCTTGCCAAACTGCCAGGTTTTGGTGTACATATTCTGCATTTAGCTGGTCACAGTTTTTGACAAGAACTTGATATTTTCAGTTATCAGTTGTATCTGTGACTCTATGGTTGTCTGGATGAAAAAGAATATTTGTTAGCAGTGCATCCTACTAGGAAGAAAACCTCCCTCTCCACTACATCAGCAATGCTGAAGCTTCCTGTTACCTGCAGACACCTAAATCAAGGCTCCTGGGCTGTAATAGGAAGTGCAAAGAGAAAAGGAACATTTCAACTAAATACACCAGCAGTTGTGCATGGGAAGAATTTGTGCTTGTTTGCTTGACTAATAGAAAAAAAAAATATTCACTCATATTCAGTCATACTCACTCACTCATATTGAATTATTTCATGTGTTTGTAATTCTCTGTGGTGAGTGTGTCTGCACACTGCTCTAGGGACTGCTAAAATCACTTGCCTCTCCATAAATTTTTTTCAAAAAGGAAATTAATGAAATAATAAATGTAAAAATCAAGAGGAAGTTTGGCTGTTTTAAGAATACACAGGATTCTTTAATGCCTGTGAGTCCGGAAACCAAAAGCACTCCCCTGCACTTCTAGACTCTCATATCACATCACTGCATTATCTGTATATGATGTTTCTCCACGTCATGGAGGCAGAATCCTGTTGTCGTGGTTTAAACCTAGCCAGCAACTAAGCACCATGGAGCCATTCACTCAGTCCCCCTGCCCGAGTGGGATGGTGGAGAGAATTGGAAGAGTAAGAGTGAGAAAACTCTTGGGCTGAGATAAGAACAATTTAATAATTGAAATAAAATAAAATAAAATAAAATAAAATAGTAGTAGTAATAATAGCAATACAATAATAATAATAATATACAAAACAAGTGATGCACAATGCAATTGCTCACCACCTGCCAACCGATGCCCAGCCAGTCCCCGAGCAGCGATCGCTGCCCCCCGGCCAACTCCCGCAGCTTATATGCTGAGCATGACATCATATGGTATGGAATAGCCCTTTGGTCAGTCTGGATCAACTATTCTGGCTGTGCCCCTTCCCAGTTTCTTGTGCACCTGGCAGAGCATGGGAAGCTGAAAAGTCCTTGACTAACATAAGCAGTACTCAGCAACAACTAAAACATCAGTGTGTTATCAGCATCATTCTCATACTAAATCCAAAACACAGCACTATGCCAGCTACTAGAAAGAAAATTAGCTCTATCCCAGCCAATGCCAGGACTCCTCCCTTTACATACAGACATTGCTCTTTGCAGCACACACCTCTGGTATGCAGTACAGCCTGCAGCTGTGCCCTGTGCATTGGTCATGATGCTGTTGGGCACAAGACATGAGGCAACATCCTTTCCTGTGAGGGCCCAGGGGTGCAGTGCTTGATGTAAGACCAGATGGGATGAAGGCAGCCTGAGAAAAGGAGATTCCCCTTCAGCTTTTATTGATGCTTTTGGGAGCTGCTCAGTGAACACTTAAAACTTAGCAGGCATACCACTTCTAATTTTCTTTTTCTCCATGGGAATGCAAGAACGAGTGATGCAAACCTGGCTCTAGAGTAGTTCATCGCCACCAATGAACAGAGGCACCTTAAGGCTGCTCTGGGAAGGGTTGTGGCAGCCTAAATGCAGCCACAGAGAGGAAGTCCTGATTTGTTCCACCTCCCTGTAGGCACTTACCAGAGATACTTTTAGAGTGAAGTCACTCTCACCATGCTTTAGGGTCAGTGGGGAAAGCAATCACTTTTCTAGGAGGGGTGCTTATCCTGCATGAGCTGAGCCACTGTCTGGTGGTGCCTGTCTGTCCAGTGAGTATAAAGACAGCTTTAATCAGAGGGCTTCTAATACAGGTACTAAAGGTCAGTGCCAGCAGTTAAGTGGAATGAGCCTGCTGTAAGTCCCTGGGTTGGGGTCTCCTGGGAGGCCCATGATGGAGCAGGGAATTGAGATCAGCCATTGAATTGCAAAGCTGTCACCCAGATGTCTTTCACTCCTCTGTCTAAGACTAGAAGATCTGGGGGATTAGTGAATGAAAGTTTTCTTGTGGAGAGCAAAAATTCTTATATCTCGTTTATGCCCTAGGAAGGCTTCAAACTATTGAAAATGGGATTTACTTTGTGCCTCTGGTTGAAGTAAGTAGCTCGGATCATTCAGGAGCAGCTGAGTGGCAGCAGTACTAGGTCTGATTCTGTGCAGCAGTGGTGCAAGATGGTATACCCAAAGTGTTAGATACATACTACCGTGCACCTGTCTATGACTGTGACAGCACTTCCTTTGGTACAAAATTATCTTTGGATCACTCTGTTGTTCTTACAGTCATTTATATTTGTAATTATACAGCATGTAGACTTTTCTACTGTGAGTTATATACATTTTGTTTTGCAGGTTGGTTACTGGAATGACATGGATAAACTAGTTTTGATTCAGCATGAACCTACACTTGGAAATGACACTTCAGCCATTGAGAATAGAACAGTGGTTGTCACTACAATTTTGGTAAGGTGTTTCTTTTTTTAATGCTTATACTGCTGTGTGACACAATGTCGTTTCTAGTTATGGTCTAATTTAGTCTGTCAATTCCTAGGTTAGTGGGAGGGTGAGAGCCATATATCTTAATTATCTTGACTGTCATGTCTGTACAGGGGTTTTTTTGGTATGCATTTAATATAATGATTCACTTGAAATCAGGTTTTTAAAATTGAGTTGTGGTAATTTTTTTCCTTTATTCAGTCTTTTCCATTTGTTACTAAAGTAAATCTCAGAAATATAAGTGAATTCTTTCAAACTCTAATTGATAAATCTTGACTCACAAGAAACTGGAAGAAAAGAAAAACCTGAAACCTCTAAATGACAGAACTGAACAGAGGGTATAAAATGAGGTGTTCATAATGCCAGTGTCCTTTTTTTGTTGATACATTATAAATTCTGAATTGGCATTAGCAAGAGCTAAAATTCTGAGTAGTATAGTTCAGTCAGCCAGTCAGAACTTGATTATCTACTTTTAATCATGAATGAAAACATGAATTTAGTAGATGCATTTGAAGATATTTCTTAATTTCTTAAGATATTTCTTATTCAGCATTTCAATAAAATTTCCATTTTAATAAAATCTAAATAGATTTGGGGTTTGATTTTACAGTGTTATTGGTGTTTTTAAAGAGTGGTTGCAAAGGAGAATGCAGTTGCTTCATTCATTTACATTTTTAATACATAGTTTTTCAAAACTGTTGTTTCTTACAAATCTGTATTTTAAACAAAATATTTAACAATTTCCCCTCTGAAGTCAGACATGCCCTTTTAAGCTGATGTTTGTCAAAGCCAACTGGCAAAGGGTGACCTTTACCTGACTGCTTTTAAGATTTTACATCTCAGTTCACTGCCCTTTTCACCTGCTTCATTTAGACAAGATATTTTAACCCTTTAGAATAAGCTGTGTCTCAACTGGGAAGGAATATTCTGTATGTGTTGTTAAACAATAATTTTTCTAATTTAATACAGAGTTGAAAATAATCCAAAGGAAAGTGTCAAGACATTTTCTTACTCAAAAATGCAGTTAGTTGCCAGATTTCCAGCAATGTGTATCAGCATTTGTACATTAAGTATGTCTTAACAAATCTCCTGTTGAAGATTATCATTCCAGGATGCAAATCAACCAAACTACTATACAGGAATTCAGAATGTTAACTCCTAACCAAATTGTGTAACTTTTTATTTTATTTTATTTTATTTGCATGGGACATTGAAAATATATGTATCTTTTTCCTAAAAAAAAAAAAAAAAAAAAAGAGTTGGTGATGGAAAAAAAAAATATACTTCAGTACAGTCCTCCTCTTTTCAGCCTCTGATGAAGAATCCTATTTTAAGAAATTGATCAAGGAAGAAAAGAGTCCCAAGATGCTGCGAACATTCCTAACTAAGGCTCAAGTATTAACCACCAGTCTAGTAGCATTGAGCTAATTTTTCCATATGGATTACTGTTCCTCTGGCTGGATGACCAGGCACTGAACCACCAAGAAAAGTTCTGTGACTAATCTGAAATGTCTAGAACAGATGACGTTAACCTTCAAGTTTGCCAAGCTGAGAAGAGAACGATGTGAATAACAAGCTTTCAGTCGAAATTTTCCTCTCATAGCAATCCTGATATCTTTGACTGAAGCTACCATACATGAATACTGTAATTTCCATAAATAGCTCCAAGCTTAGGAGAAGCGAGTGAAAAATAATAATGGAAAGTAATATAAAAGATTCCTGTTTGCCAGAAAGGAAAAAAAGGAAAACAAGAAAGCTTTTAAAATGTGTTATCTTGCCTGTCCTGTTTGCATTGAAGCATTTTGATGTGCATAATAAATGTTATCTTCAAAAGAACTTTGCCAGTCCCTGTATTGAAAGGACTGGTGGGATCATTTTCAAAACCAAAAAGCTGAATTAATATTCCAAAGCATGCCCTATGTTTATGCAGCATGTCATTTTGGGATAAATGCAATTATTTGAAAGCAGCACTGCTTCTTGACCAAAAGTGTCCCCTTTCAACGTTTCAAAATCACAGTGCAAGAGAAATATATCGGAATTTGGTTTGAATAAGAATATATGGTGATTTCTGCCTTATCATGCCCATCTCCCATTGATTCCACTGGGAGCTGCACACATGATGCTGAAGGCAGATTAGAACCATGATTCTTAATATTGACCTGCCAGAGCAATGTATTTAGCATCCACAAGCATATGATTACACACACAAAGAAAAGATATATTTAAGTAGAATAACTCTCCGAATCCTGTTATTTTGCTCTTCTCTGTATTATAGTCATGTTGCAAATACCAGACAGAGAGTTTTTGACCTCTTCCTTGCCCTCTTCACATTGAAGGGAAGTTGAACCATTGTGGATGACACATACAATTTTGGTTGCATGCATATTTTCCAACATTAAACTGAAAAGCTTCTGCAACCACTGCTGTCAGGCTTTTCAGTCTTCAAAGACAGGTGTCATGGCAGCGTAAGAAAAGTTTACAAGTTTTCAGCATGGCTCACTTTAATTTTTGCCTGAAGCCAAATAACACAAGTTGATTTGCCTGCTGTTTCTTCAGTTTTTATGTGTCTGTGCTTACTTTGCTGTAATATGGCTGTATGGCTATTGCATAAAAGGTGCATTATAACGAATTAGCTCTGCAATCAAAAGAACTTACTACAGTGTTTTCTACTTGGCAAAATGTTATGTTCATTTGTAACGTAGTGAGAGCACGTAGAATTTATTTTACAGTTTTGGTTTAGCGTGTAGGCACTCCACCTATGTCCGATTAGTTATGTGATGAAGGAGCAGCCCAGAGAGAGGTGGCAGCAGGGGCAGCTGATGCCCTTTACTCTACCAGCTGCCGTGCAGCCCTGCTTTTTGTAGTTCCTGGGAGAGCCCTGTGTCCTGCACCTCATGTGATGCACAGTCTCCTGCACATCTGGCCCTCTGGAAAGGACAGGTTTTCTACCTGTGTGCAGAAGCATTCCCTCCGGGGGGGGGCTTGAGACCTCCAAGTGCACAGTAGGTTCATTGTATGACTGGAGGAGGGATGCCATGTGCAGCCCTCCTCCAACACTAAGGTAAAGTAAGTGACTTAGCCAGCTTGGAATAATGATTATCTCTGATTTAGCAAGTTAAGAAATACAGTGACAAGATGTTGAGGTAGAATGTAGGAGAATAGGCTGGGAAGACTACTCCAAACTCTCTAATCCATTTCATGATACAGCCAGCTCTCTACCTACTCTGAGACTGCAAAACTTTAAAAAATTTTAAACATAAAAATCCTTTAGAACCAAAGCTTGATGTACAATGAGCTGTGTATGCATTGCAGCTTCCAGCTCAGTGTTTTAATGAGATAGTCTTGGTGTTGGCAGATTAAGCTTCAAGGGCAGGATCCAATTCAAGACTGAATCACCTAAACGTAGATGATTTTACAAAGGGTATTGATTCAGTTGCCCACTTACAAGCACTCAGTGACATTTAAGGTGCTCTAGGATATACTGCCTACCCCCCATTTCTTACATTGGCAGGATGATGCTTGCCTGTTTTATGCCATATATGACCACCCCATGTGGATGTCTCAGCTACTGTATGTTGTTTCAGGCGTGTGGGATGAGTTGTGCCCCAAGTATGTAAGTTTTGCATCAAAGTCCACAAAGATTTGGAAATAGATTCAGTGGCCCATAGGTGGATGCCTAGCACTGAGGATATCAGACCTATCCGTAAAGGGGCAGCACAAAGGACGTGCAGAACGGCACTTGGAGGTCAAGCAGGTTACCTGAGGGCATCTGAGATGACAGATATTTTCATTAGGTGACTGAGAACCACACTCATTTTTTTGACTGATATACTCTGATGGAGTCTTACCTCAAAAATTCTAACTATAACCTCCTTTCTCATAATAGAAAAATATTTTTTCATTAGAAATTTTATTAATTAAATTCTTTAGTAGACTGGAGAAAAAATTGAACTTTGTTGCATGACGATAATAAAGCCTTCAAACCGAATCCTGGACACTTTATTCAGAAAAAAAAACCAAACCACAAAAACCAAAAATACCTTCCGTTGACATCTACAGAAGTTTCTTTCAGAATAAAGTGTGACAATGTGTGCCATTCCTGTTCTAAAAATGAGACATTTCCTTGCACAATATTTGTCAATTTTACAAATTAATTTTACAATGTTTAAAGATTTTGAAATTAACTTTAGAGTAGGAAAGCCAAACATAGATCTGTTTGGTATTTGGGTTAGTTACTTTCTCCAGCTTGCCTTATAGTATGAATCATCAGTTGTGAGCATTTTACTGTACACATGAATTTGTGGCAATGTGGTGGAATGATTTGTTTACATCTATAAAGGTAATTGTTGCAGACATCAACTTGTATTTACAAATGTTAAGTATTGTTATAAAATTGTGAATTATATAAGTAAAGCTTGCACAATTTCAAATATCTGTTCCGTGCTAGTCATTGATCATTTCAATGTGGACTCTTCCTTGATTCACAACCCCATAGAATACTATTAAGCAGCTCAAATCTTGCAAATATTGCGGTGTTAAACCTCATTCAGCAGTAAGTCAGACCTGTGTTTTACATCAATAGGTTAAGAGTTTATAGTTCAAAAATGTAGTAAATACGAAGATGGTGGGGAGAAGTAATATTTTTATTAGACAAGATGCTATAACTGGAAATGGTGAAAAAGCATGCCTACTGTTTTCAGCTATTTCAGCTGATCTAATAGAAGATATTACCTCTCCATAGATATCTTGCATCTCATATCTTTAGACTAGCATGGTTACACTAACATTACTACTAATTTAGAAAATGCTATTGTAATAGATTATACAGAAAAAAATCATCTTTTTCAGTGCCACAGATAGAAAAGAGCGTCAAGATATGGCTGAGTACATGCTATTGATCAATTCAGATATTTCATGACTTTGCAGTGTGACCTTGCAAGTTCATCTGTTTAAGTTGCTTGTTAGCAAACCAGTAAAACTTGCCTTTCAGTGCCCTGATGTTATTATAATAACATCTGCACACCTCATTAGTTTGAAACACCCCCAAAGTCGTAAAATGGACAGAATTTTAAACTAGTGCTACTATTTGATTTTTTTTGCAAACAGTCTGTATCAGAAAGCACATTCAGTCCCACCCACATCCCCCCATCAAATTCTACCTTGAAAATACATCTTTCATTATTTGGCAGGTAAAGCAGGCACAACAATTAAAGAAACTGTTATTTATTCTGCATAAAAAAGGCAGGAGAGAAAGGACAACATAGTAAGCAAAAGGTAGTAGGTGTTCCCATTATTTTTAATTGTATTGTTTCACACTGGCAGATCTCACTCAATTGCTGCTTCTTTTAAAGCAGTCACAGCATGAGGTACTACCTTACTCTATTAAAGAATTGCGTTATAAGAGATGTTCCTTGCTGTATTTGGCTCTAAATTGGTAAGATCAGAGCATGTAGAGAGAAGTGGGAGATGGGGAGAGAACCAGTGCAGTTCCTCCAAGTTACCCAACAGATCCCTGCCAGAGCCCAGGTCTCCTGAGCCCTCACTTGGTGGTCCCTCCACTGGATGGGATTGCTGCTGCTTGCACCTACCAAGGACGGTATTGGACCCCACTGCTTCCCTTCTCAGCATTCCCTCACAAAACTCACAGGGAGGATGGCTGAAGTTTATTTCAGGAAAAATAAGGCATCTGTCACTTTGCTTTGCTGTGCAGAGACAGCTGAAATGCTTTTTTGTAGCAGCCCTGCCGGTGATGAGGTGCAGGCAGAAGCACAGTGTCTGGGGTTTGGGAGAAGGAGCAGGCTGACCTGGCCTCCTCTGTGCCTGTCTGCTTTGTGTCCCTCTCCAGAATTATTATTTCCTGTTGTGACTTTAATTGTATGCCTTTGGCTTGGGATTTATAAGAAAGGCTGAATCAGAAGAGCTAGCAGTCACTAACTCTGTTCTTTGAAAAACAAAATTGCTTTTGAGGTGCAGCAAGCAAATGTAACTGAAGCTTGTAAGGAGAGTTCACAAATGCCGGATACTGGACAAGACTTGGTTGTATTTCTAGCTAGCAGTTGGCTAAATCACAGTCAGGAAACATTATTTTTTGCCTCTGTTTATTTTTAACCATTTTTGTGAAATAACATGTAGAAAGACGCAGATTTTGGCTTTTCCTCTCATGGGAACAAAAAGCCTACATAAAGGAGGAACATTTGATTCATGTACCCAAAGATACTTCCTAAAATCAAGATCTCCTGCAAAGAGAGGGCAGGACCCCTTCTCCTTGCTTTTTTCTCTCCCTCCCTCTGGAAGACAAGTGGTTGAGATTAACCTGATTTAACTGGGGATAGGAGTACAAGAAATGGTGCAGGTTGCTGGTAATGCTCAGCAGTTTTCCTTTGAAGATACAAACTCTGTACGGGCAAAGTCATACCACTGCATCACTGTAGTAATTACAGTGTGTAGTTAATGCTGTAGCTCAGTGGTCTTCTCAGTGCCCAGGCCACATGCATCAGGATGATAACAGCTTGTTTTGTGATTGCCCCAGTTTTAGAAGTCATTGGCAATCCTTAGCCCTACAGTGATCATAACTATGTGCTCAAGAAATGCAACAATCTGCTGTTGTCAACCTCAAATTTCTCTGGGCATTTATACTTACATATAGGTCAAGAAACCAGGTAGTCAGACCAAGTTTGACTTTGGAAGTGATCATTGTGGACGCTTTGCTGTGCTGTGTGGTTCCTTAGCTGAAGTAATGGCCGTAATGCATCAATGGCCTCCAACACTGAATCTCTGCTAAGGGATTGTGGCCCAAAGAGGCGTGTCCATAGCAGAGAATAACATAAGAAGGAGATGATCGGAGGAGAGATGTTCTGGGAATACACCTGAGAGTGAGACATTCCTGCAATACTTAGGAACCTGACTCTGTCTTTAAGGAAACACTAGCACTTCCTTATTCCCAAACTGTGTTGAATTTAATCTGGGACCTTTCTCTCACATTAAAGTAAATGAACTACACGACTTTCTCCACTCACATTACACAAAGCTCTGTTCTGCCATCCTTATACAGAGGTGGGTCCTGGGCGGAGTTACCACAGGGAGTAAACTTACATAAGTAAATGGAATAGTGCCTCCCACGTATAATCTCTCTCTTCTCTATTTCTCTGCCTTTCACCTTATAGTGTTGAGGCTTGCCTATTAAGTTCTTCTCTTGGGTGGATCCACAACCTGGTAATAGGAGCTACATATTGGTATCCAAAAGGAAAAATTTACCTGACACACTGAAAAATTTTGGAATTGGTTTATTCAGTCCCCCTATTGCTCATGTAATGCCACATATCCTCCATTGTTAAACACCTAATAGAGGTTACAAAGTTGTTGTTGCTTACAGCTGATGTTGATGTAGTTTCAATGAAGCAGACATTCTCAGACTACATGCTTACCTTTATTTTATTTTTGTACTAATATTGTATGTAGGAAAGATGTGAATAGGGCAGAGTACTACCAAGGTTAGTGTCAAAAACCTAACATTCACCAGGGCCAGCACAGAGAAAACTTAAGTAACCAGTATTTTATGATGTAAATTCAAACAAAGAGTGACATTAGTGACAAGTATTTTATCTGAAACTGGCTATGAATACGGATTACATGAAGTAATTTAAAATACCACCAGAAAGTGATGGCTAAAGTCTGAATCCACACAGAGCAAAAAAGAAAAATGTGACCTTGTTTTCCCAATGTGACCTTGATTTTCCAATTACATAATGTTCACTATTGTTATGGTATGGTTTACACAGGGAATGTAAGATCCACTTCTTGAGACATGTTTTACTTGTTTTCAACGGCACTCACCAACCAAAAATATTTTGGTACTTGTTTTTCATGCAGCACATAAAGTCAGTGTCAGCTTAATACCATTCCTGTCCATGCATATTGCTTAGATTCATCCTAGAAGACCTTGCAGAATGTGCACTGTTTATTCGAAGGGGAAGATACATGTTTCCTCGGGAACGTATTTCTATATTCTCACTAAAATGTATGTAGCCTATGCATTCTAAACCCCAAAAAAGCAAATCATTCAGGCTGTGCCTCTGAAATTACATAGGCAGTAACGACACTATGCTAGAGGATATGCTTACTTACTGAAGTCAGAAGCGTAAACTACACTTTGTGTTATCCCACAGTCATTTGCATTGTATAGGTTCAACCTCTATTCATGCTTTAAATTTTGTGTAAGGTCTTTCATTAAAAAAAAAGAGTAAAATTTATATACATTCTTGGATAGTTTTTGTGTTCATAATTTGTAAGGTCGATAAATCTTGTAAAATGTGTAATCCAAATTACAGTGTAAATAGTATACCTTTCCAGAAGGATTTTTGTTCATAAATTTTAATTTAAATGTGTTAATATTATCCATGAACTTTTGATGAAATGTGTGTTGTTCAGTCAGTAGATGATGTTACTTTTCAGAGAATATGCTGTATACTTCTCCTTTACAGTTCTACTTCTTTCATTATAGGAAGCCCCATATGTTATGTTCAAGAAAAACCATGATACGTTTGAAGGGAATGACAAGTTTGAAGGATACTGTGTAGATCTGGCATCAGAAATTGCAAAACATATTGGTATCAAGTACAAAATTGCCATTGTTCCTGATGGAAAATATGGAGCAAGGGATCCAGAGACAAAAATCTGGAATGGGATGGTGGGAGAACTTGTTTATGGGGTAAGCATACCAATTTTTGAAGCAGGATTTAATTTATCATAGTATTAGTCATAAAATAGGAAGTATGTGTACATTTTATTTAACCTTGGGATCACAGAAAAGAAACAGAATTCTGTTTCAGATCTCTGTGCTTTCTTTTATTTTCAGGAGAATATCAAAGTGTTTCATGCAAATTCTACTCTTTATTCAACTAGTACCTTGTAATATTAGAACATCCATACTTTTCACATCCCTTAAAAATTAATTAATGTTAGAACTAATGTTAGAGAGCATCTATTCCTGATACAGTGTAAAACTTAGTTGGGAAGAATATCACTCATTTATTCATTTTCATGGAATGGGGGACAGATCTTTTGAAATCATAGGACTCTTGGTCTAGTTTGAGACATGGACAATCCACCACCATATATTAAGCATATATAACAAAACACTACAGACAAGTACACAATTAGGCAATTAAGAATTAAGACAGACTTTTAAGATGAACGTCAATAATAAAATTTAAGAGAAACCTGGTAAGTTCAGCAACTAAGAGCATTACATTACACAGTGATCTGGAGAAGGATTCTTCAAAATAGCATAACAGTTAACAATTCTGTTGACACATAAATTTGTAATATTTAATGAAAATAGTTCCAACAAGCCCAAAGAAATATTTGCAGTATCTGGTGTTACCAAAAGTAGCAAAATTCAGAGTCATGCTTGCTGATGACTGCAGTTGCTAATATCTGCACTGACAACAGATCAGAATTCTTAGAGAAACTTTTCATTTCACTGGTGGAATAAAAAAATCCTAAAAGTGTTCAGGTGACAACATTTCCGCCAATGAACTCATAACATGCCTCAGCCTCCCCATAAAAGCCTACTGCATATGGGTTGGTCCATCTACAGTTGCAGTTTCCACAATTCCAATGGTGGTTAAGGCCACGTTTGGCAAAAGCCTAGTGACTTTTCTCCCAGCTCTATTTCTGTTCCCTTCTGTCAGCTAAGTATAGCTGATAAATTTTGTCAAAGTCTTCTCCACTAGGATCAGCTCAAGGGACTCCTCAACATGAAACAGACTGTGTGCTGTAGGAATGTGGGAAATGGTGCCCCAGAGTCTTGTTGTTTTCCCCTCCACATGGGAATGGGAAGGTTACAGCAGCCTCACAAAACCATGTATGTTCTTTGAAGTACTTGGAGGAACCAGCCTCACTTGAGTCATTAAAGAGTGGAAAAGCTGAATGATCTCCAAGTATATATGTCCACTGTAGTGGCTTTGAAGCAGCTCGACTCTCAGGATCTTAAAAGTCAAGGTTATTTCAGACTTATTTTATCAAAGTGGAGGTGACTCCTTGTCTGGCAATAACCATCGCATGGATGTCAATGACTATGCACTGTTTTACACCAGTAGGTTTTTTTAAAACATCTTGAGAAATTTTACATATTGTGAGAAAACTCCCTTGCCCAGAATCCGAGTTTTAATAGCGGAGTTTCAGTGGCCTATCATCTAGTTGAAAATAATAGACTAAAACTTGAAATTACACTTTAGTTTTCAGTTTGGGTTTGGTTTTTTTTTTTTTTCCTTTTATGTATCTTGAAAAATTTACCTCATCAAACCCAAACTTCCCTAGTGCTAGACTGAAATACAGAGTGCCATTAGAAAGCTCACACAGAGGTTCATGCCAGTACTGGAAGGTGACCTGCTGCTGTTAACATAGCTGAAAACAACAAAACTTACAGGCATAAAGAACCTGTTGCATATCACCTGCATGAAGAGGACATACCAGAATACATGGTCAACACTTCATTTTTTGTAATGGAAAAGAATGAGGTGAAGGCACTTTAAAGGCTTGATGACCAAGTTTAAAAGCTCTTGCACAACTATCCATTTAGGAAGGCTGCAGTCTGATTGTGATTCTGGAGTTGAGCTCTGAGAATGAGCCACAGCAAAGCTCTTGGAGCTGCTTTTTTTATTGAAAGATCTGACAGAAGTCCGCTGTTGCCCAGTGTATTTGCTGTCCGAAGGCTCCCTTAGGCTGTATCTGTCCCAGTATATCAGTGGTACCAGGGAATGTCCCTGGGCACCGGAACTTGCTTGACTAACTGCTCAGTTGCAACAATGGTCCCTGCTATATTTTTGGCCCATAATTACTCTCCAGAACAATTTTGGAGCCCAGCTGGACACTAGCGTGGGGGAGAGACCATTCCCTATAAGCAGCTTGAATGCAGCCATCCTGGTTTAGAGGTTAAATAACTTTCATGGTAGTGACACAGACTGTCCTGTGCTATCTGGCCTTAAGGCCAAGAACTACTACTCTAAGCATGTTTAATGTACTTTTACAGGTGTAGCTTTAAAGGAAGTGGTTCTTCCTGTCAACTTATAAAAGTTTGCTGCTTAAGATTTCCGTAGGGAATCCATGAAGAGCATCCTTCCTGCAACTTCCTTGAGTCCTTACCAGATGATTTACAGAATATCTGGGTCCCTGGCTTATTCCATATAGAGAAAGCCAAAAAGTCAGTCAGCCAGAGACTTTCCTGCAAAGCTGTGCTATAAGAGGATGTTCATCTTCTCTGGTAGATCCCCAAATCATAAACACAAGTACTCTGAGTAGCTGGCTATGCTTCAAGGAAGGCTTTTTGAGTGCAGCCAGGATTGGGACAGAATTTGCAACTGAATTAGCAAGTAGACAAGATGATCTATTTGGGAAACATTTTACAGCTTCTAGTTCCCAACCACATTAAAGGATTAACAGACAGTTTTGTGCTGGCCAGTGAGACTGATCCTCTTCTCTGCCACATGAAAGGTTCCTCTCCTCTGCTGCTCTACACCATACCCCAATGCCACTTAGCCCTATCCGTGTTACTGAGAGTGGACACGTGCCAATTTTATCCCATGTTCCCGTGAGACCTATATGCACCGTTGGTCATTCTGGTAGCTGGACACCTTCAGATACTGCACAGAGCAGCTTGGTTGTCACCTAAAATCTGTAGCTGATTTTTCCATTATGTCCCAGGGGAAACAGTGCATAAAGTTATGTGTTGTACAGTTTTGCTATGACTGTACAGAAGGTCATGAGGGAGGGGGAGTGTTTATTTCCCTGTTTTGTTTTTAACACTCTATTAAAAAATACCAGGAAATCTTGATAATTTATCCCTGATCTATCCGAATGCTTGCAGTAGTCCATGTGGGGCTCTATAGCCCTTAATACCAACCTCATAGAAGAAATGCTGGCTGGGGATGAAATACTATTAGGCACACGTAACCGGTGTTTCCAAATGCACTAACAAGCAGTCCAAATTAAATACCCATTCTCCTGACACAAAATGCTATTCTTTCACTGCTTAATACAAAAGGTCACAACTCATTTCTGTTTAAAATCTGAGAAGCTATGAGCTTCTGAAGTTGAAATCACTTCCTGCATGGTTTTTCTCAGATAGCATTACCACCTTCATACAATTTATACCAAGCATAGATTTTATTCACAAGGTTTTAATAATATATTCTGGAAAAGTAAAAGTCTCTTACCATCAGACTTAATCTTGTCCCATTGTATAATATCGGAAGGGTCCAGAATCCATCTGCACTTGGTAGTGGTGCAGCCTTGACTGAAATACGGTTACAGATGCAGTTGCTTCAAGTGTGAACTATCATTAGCCTTTGTCAAAACAGATTTCACTGGCAACAATATCATGAATTGTTTGCACCATTGTTATATTGTTAATCATTTAAATCCATAATTATATGGTGTACATTAACTGGGCAAAGCACAAACGCTGACGATTATAATGCACAGCTATTGTCATTATTTAGCTTTCAACAACGAAAAGTTTATGTAGGCCTTAATGTGGCATGCAGTAGTCTTACAAAAATAATAAATAATATGATCAGATTGGGGAGGCTGCACTTTTTCCAATTATTTGGCATCTAATTGTGACGTATCTGTGTACTGTCCCTTTACATTCACTGGCATGAAACACGTTTCTCTACATTATGAATCATCTGACATTAGATCACTGTCATAATGAAATGGGCTAATTTCCTATTTCTCCTCTTGAACTCCTTAAAGTAGTGTAGGCAGCTAGTTCTTATTTAGTTCAAGCATGTGCTCTGTGAGCATTTAAATGTGATAAGATTAATCTTACCCAGTGTTTCACTTTTTATGTTTCACATACAATATGCAGTGTGCTAATTAGGTCTTTAAAATCTCCACAGTTCACACTAAAATGGTGCTGTCATTTTTCTACCTCACATCATAAAAACTTAACAACCCTCAAGGATCCTTGTTTTAATCCCAGTAGCAATCTGCAGACGCAAAAAATGAAGTGTTAGCCAACACTTTTGAAGCCAAAGACCAGTGATCAGGTCTGTCATTTACCCTGTGTTAAGGAAGATACCACTATGTGACAAATACAGAGAAGATTAGCAGTAATGGATCACAGTTTCCCTGAGTCTTTCAGTTAATTCGTTTCAAGGACTCCACATTAGGTGTTCACAGTAGCTAAAATTTCAGGGAATAAAAGACATTGACTCTAAGGAAGGAAACCATCCTTCCAGAAAAAAGGAATTCATGAGTGAGATGAAATACAAAAATATGCAGCAATGCCAGTAGCCCAAACCATTCTACAATCCTTAGACTACAGAAACCAAATTTACCTTACAATTTTCAGGATATTTAAAAATATATTTTAGACATGTTATTTTTCTTCATATAGTACCTGTCTTCATAAAATATCTCAGTCAGACTTACGTAATCACAAGACTTTAAGAAGCCAAATTTTTAAAAATGCCTTGTATTACTAAAGTTATATTAAAATTCAGAGAATTAGCACTATTATCATTATGTTTACCCAAGACATTAGCACCAGAGATGTCTGATACACTTGCAAAACTATGATTTTAATTGTGTTGCTTAAACTATAATATCTTTACATAAAATTATGATAAGTGTTTGCATCACAATTATTTCAGAATGACAGATATAATCTGATTATTAATATATAGCAATTTTAATACAAATTTGCGGTTTTGGGCCACTGCACTGAAATGAGTCAGTTCTTTTGAAGTCTTCAAAATTGTACAGCTACCAAAACAGGCTTAAATTTTAACCACATGAAATTAGTTTTAAATTAAATTCCATAAAATATATATAGCTCAGTATAAGTTAGTGTATAAAATAACAAAAACATTATTTTAAATGCATTTATCTGTTTCAGAGTTGTGAGATGACAAAAAAGCCTACATTTCAATTTCTTTTTTTCTTTATCACACAAGCTATTTATGTAACACTTGGATTAAACTACTTAAGCACATCCTTAATTTTCGATATGTTTTAATCTCATTGAAATTGATGGGATTTAAATATATCCTTGTATATTTTACTGAGTGTGAATATCCTTAAGAACATCCTAAAAGGCACACATGCTTAAATGCTTTGCTAAACTTTGGGCTATGTACTATATCTGAAGATGTTACCCCATAAGTTGAATTTGGGCCAGCTAAGTATTTAGAAAATAAAACTATGACAGTTCTATTATGGAGATTTATGAGTAGCTCTTAATTGTGCCTGTGAAGATGACTGGGCCTCAGGTGGGGTAAATACAGGCAGATTATCTCATATATTGAGGCCTGAAGCAGAGTAATGCCACTGCAGAAGGCAGGTTGTGAGTCTACCTTATTTGCAGCCAACACCAAGTGTTCTCAAAATATGCTCAGTTACCCTCCTTAGCCCATAAGCTGTATAGAAGTCCAGGCTGGTCACAGAGCACGAGCTGTGCTCTGTGAATCCACCTAGATACAGCACCACGATGATGAACAGGAGAAAGGTTTCAGCAGCTTCTGCATCTGTTCCCCTTCCACCGGTGCATCTTTGGTCCCAGTTCCTCTTCCAGTTCCCATCTTAAGCACTGCTGTAATGACAGCTTTGGCATACAAGGCAAGGCAAGGAGCAAACCTTAATGTAATGTTGAGTCCCTAATGACAGAAATGACCCATTAGCACAGCTACAATACCTTATAGTTCATGCAGACATCATTGTTAGCAGCTGTAATCACCTTCATCATCAATAACAATTCATTCAAGACTGGCATCTTCATTCTAAAAACGTATTAGAGAAACATACTAAAAATTATTCCTGTCTCTAATGGGAATGGATTCAGCACACTTTTTATCCTTTTATTGCATGATTTTGCACAGCTGTTTTCTCTATACTTGCCTTTTTGCACTGTTTAAAATCTGATTCATTCCTACTGAACTATCTTTCCCCCAAGACAACTGCGTGCAGTTTTGTGGTATCATGGCAATAGTTCATCACCTTTGCTGCTTCATGCTATTTCGAACCTCTTTCAGTCTATGAGCTGGCTTCCCTCAAAGAATGGTTATATTTTATGAAAATATGATAATGAATTACTGTTTCTGGGATCTTATAAAAAAATCTCTATACATTCAGTGACCGTAGGGTCATTCTCATTTTTCATTCATCCTTGAGTTCCTTTACTTTAAATCTAAATTAATACCTAAAATATCTACATACACTGCTGCTGACCTCTATAAGATTTAAGAGTCTTCTCCTTAGCAGGAAAATTGAGTATTTCTGTAATTCTGTAAAGTAAAAACCTGCAATGTGTATGTTTTACTAAAAGCATATTGAGTAAATATAGACTGTGATAGAAACAGAAAGATGGTATAAAGAACATTTAAGCCACAGTGTCCTGATGTTAATGACATACCTTTGGAATTAGCTGCTAGCTGAGTATATAAGCCAACTCCAATTAATCTATACATCTATATTTCTTTTCTCTTTATAGAAAGCAGAGATTGCTGTTGCGCCTCTGACCATCACTTTGGTACGAGAAGAGGTCATTGATTTTTCTAAGCCTTTTATGAGTTTGGGGATATCCATTATGATCAAAAAGCCCCAGAAATCTAAACCAGGAGTGTTTTCCTTCTTGGACCCTTTGGCGTACGAGATCTGGATGTGCATAGTCTTTGCCTACATTGGTGTCAGTGTGGTCCTGTTCCTAGTTAGCAGGTTTAGCCCATATGAGTGGCACACAGAAGAACCAGAGGATGGGAAAGAAGGACCCAGTGACCAGCCTCCCAATGAGTTTGGCATATTCAACAGCCTCTGGTTTTCCCTGGGTGCCTTTATGCAACAAGGATGTGATATTTCCCCAAGGTTTGTGTCAAATCTTTTTACATTTGCATTTTATCTTCAACACTGAAGCATAAAACTTTCCTTCATTTATTTTCCTGGCAGTGTTTTGAATTTCATTCTTTAGGAAGCCTTTTCATTTTTTTTCTTTTTTAATAACTATGATAAGGGCAACAGAGAATCTGCTTTAAATTTCAGTCATTACTATTATTTTATGTATGTCAGCTTTCATAAACCACAAACAGCTCTTAGAAACAGCAGGTATATACAGGGGTAATTCCACTGAGTTGACTTCAGAGGCACTGTGTTGTTGCTAAATTAGTTCCATTGTGTTACAATTATGAAATGCACGCTATTGTGCTGAATATTTGCCTTGCATGAATGAATGTCCCATTTCTGTTCCCTATCAAGTTCTACAGTACTGCTTCCAGAATATCACTGTCTATGAGAGAGAGAATATTTGACCATCTGTTCCTGAGAAGCCATGCTCTATGGCTAAGCTATGCCTTACGGAGTGGGTACCTCAGATGTAATGTATGATCCCAGTCCTGAATTTCTCAACTTTTTAAGATGTTCTGGAACTTTAGTATGCAGTAACTACAACTTCTTAATTAAACATTATGGCCCAATCTTTCAAAATTGAATGCTTCATTTTAGCCATTAACAGTGAAATTTTGAGAGTGTTCAGCATTGGCCTAACTCAGCCATTATTAAAGTTAGCAATGAAACTGCTGCTAATTAAGACTGGATGTACATTACTTGTCAACAGCCTTCTCACCAAATTACAGGTATTAAAATGGAAAATATAATTTTTTACTTAATATAAATATCTCTGTTACCACAAAATGCTTGCTTCTTAAAGAAGAAAAATGTAGAAGTTCAAATGATTGCAGTAGCTTGTAGAATGTTTGATAAGTTTGGGTGACAGGAAGATTTTAATCCTAGAGCCAACATAATCTATGTTCAAAGCCTTTTGTGTCTTTTTTTTTTTTTAAGAGGAAACAGAGAAAGCTACTGATTTGCAGCTACTGTGCTTTACTTTTGTCTCCAATAAGAGATTACCTAGCCAGTATTTTTTACAAAATTTTTGCTATGTTAGGCATTTCCTGAGATAATAAGAGCACTGGGATTACTGTTCAAGAGAATTCAAGCTTCTGTATCTACATGATACGTATTAATACAGTGGACTCTGTACTGTAGGCATTAAGATTCACAAGAAAAAGCATGTATTAGTATTTAAAATGCAAATGATCTCCCTCCCTTTAACTGTTAAAGATACATGTTCAGCAATAATGGTGCCTTCTCTCTTTCTCTCTCTCTCTTCGTGGCTTAAGAGACAGGAAAATGTGCATTATCTTATTCGTGTTTAGATCCCTCTCAGGTCGCATTGTTGGAGGTGTCTGGTGGTTCTTCACGCTCATCATTATTTCATCATACACTGCTAACCTCGCTGCTTTCTTGACTGTTGAGCGAATGGTCTCGCCCATAGAAAGTGCAGAAGACCTTGCCAAACAAACCGAAATTGCTTATGGGACACTGGACTCAGGGTCAACCAAAGAGTTCTTCAGAGTAAGTTGGCATGTCCATTAGAACAGCTCTCCATACCAACTGCTCTTCGCTTGGAAGGGTGAAGTAATGTTACTTTGCAATTATATGTAATATGGTTTGTAACTCCTGCAATACTTTAGCTACTTTTTTACCCCCACAACACCATTTGTTGGAGTTTTCAGTTATTTTAATTTGTGGAAAGCTTATTGATCCTGTCACATTGGGCAAAAGAGGTGCCCCAAGGGATACTGAAACCAGTGATAATTAAAGCAACATTGCACTATTGATTCATCTGAAGCTACAGTACTGAAATGATGTGCAGCATTGAAAGCTTATGATGATAACATGGAGGTTTGCAGGTTTTGTTTCTACTTATGGATTTGGCTGTGTGCATTTGGCTTTAGGGTCTTGGGTGGTGGGCAGGAAATGCATTTTTTAATTTGCTGACTTTCAGATGAATAATAAAGAGAAAACATATCTCAGGGGGATGTGGTTGGAGCATTAGGAAACAGCCTAAATAGCCATTTGTATGTCTGTGCTGTCTGTATTGATTACTTCATTTTAATTTGCTTTCCTGTGTTAGCATGGTTGGTATGTATTCCTCATCGTTTGCCAGCTGGAAAACAGGGAGCCTGGACATTACAAGGAGTACACAATAAACAGTCCCTCCTGCTTTATTTCATGCCTCTAGCAGATGCAAGTTAAGCCTAAATGACTGAATGTATGTGAGTTTAGTGTTTGAACATGGCTCTGAATAAATGCTGTGAGCCAGTAATCCTTCCTTGGAAATTACACAGCATTATTTATCTGAAAGGTGCAGTTTAAGGCATTTTTAGAAGAAAGGAAGATGGCGTGATATTTTCTTCTTATTGTATGATTGAAAGGGGACTGTTCTATGGTAGGTACTCCCACGCACCTTGACTGTTTTCAGTTTGGCCAAACTGAACTCAGTGAATCATTAACAAAATTATGGATGGGATTTGTGACCTGTAGACACTATCAGTTCAAGGGCAGCTGCTTAGTGTCCCCCAAAAGGTCTGTAGTGAAATAACCTTTTTACTGCAAGAGATGTCCCCATAGAAGAACTAATATTTTCTATTAGCTGTAAAAAGATGATGCCTTATAAATGGCACTTAACCAACACATAGTGGTTGAGCCTTCACATGATGAAGCTGTCCAAGGAGTTTAGTCTAAGCTAGTTTTCTAGATTTCTTCTGTAGACACTGGAGAAAGAAAAACACCCATGTGCATCTTGTGCGGGACAAGTGTGTTATGTTCAAATAAAACACCCTTTAAAGTATCTTCCTCTTTGCATCAACTCTATACGGATCCCACTGAAATGGTTAGGGTGCTTGGTACATCATTTTTTAATGGATACAGTTCAGTGACAGGTTTCTAACTACACCTGTCATCTTCTATAGCCAGGGTGTTGGTATACACCTAAATATGACACCACAGATGCTCTCTGGGAGCCTTTTTTTTTTTTACCCCAAGTGGTAGAAACTCAGCTTGTGGTCCCTAGAAGCCCTGATTTCACATCAGTTGTCTACAAAAATGGTGGCATTAAGATATAGGAAGCCTGTCTGAGAATTGAAATATTTTGATCCTGAGATGGCCAGATTTCCTGTTTTCTTGAAAAGAGTATAATCCCTCAATTAATATTTATATTCATCTATGATTAACATATAGATTCTTCTTTAGCTCAGTTTCTGCAAAGTTAGGTGTTTTATTCTGGGAATTCCAGTTTCAGTCCATCAGGCTGAGGTGGTAACGACAATATATGTGTACAAATAGTTCTTTCAACTAGAAGTAAGCTGTGATGATAGTTAAAAACATGATGCTGAGGACCAGGCAGGTTTATTTAACTTTGGATTTATTAACTTGTATTTTCAAGAGTATACAGTACTTGCAGGTTTTTTAGGTGATGATACAAAAATAATTCCCAAGGAAATAGTACAGAATGAAGGAATGGAGTAGTTTTCTTAAGAGAAAACACTTTTACAAGCTGTTGTTTTGAAGTAGTGAGGTCAGGTCTTTTGACATAAAAACAGTCTTGGCCACAAAAATTTTGTGATTCTTTTAAATCATCCTGTAAACACAGATACTTCTTTGTTTTAATCAATATTTCATGCAAGATCTCTCCTTAAAGAGAAGAATCTTCCTCCAAAAGAGAAGAATCTTTCTCCATCTACCATGACAGCCATTCTTTCATTTTAATCTTAAGGGGTTAAGAGAAAAAAGAAAGAAAATCAATGTTGTCTTTATATTTTTTCCTTTATTTCAAAATACAAAGAGAAACATTAAAATTAACTACAAATACTAAATGTAGTTGCATGCACAAAATTTGAAGCTTTATCAAGATTTAGACTGTGTTGATCGCTTTTTTAAAAATGGTGTAATTGAGGCCATGTTATCAAATGATTTCTACTCTCTGCAACATACAGTCGTTGTCGATATTGTATGCGCTATTTCTAAAAATATTTTTCACAAAACAGGGACAAAGTGAAAATATCATTGACAGACAGTATTTGCACAAACACTGTTTGCATAATACATAAATTAAGACCTAGCCTGAAACAACAGTAGGAGAAGACTTGCTTCCCAAGTCTAACATTTTGTGTGGTTGGAAGCGAACATCATCAGTTTGGGGATTAAAGTCGTGTAACTTTTCGGTCAGTGATTACTATCTGGCTGAAGATGAGCCTTCAGGACATTTTCTCCTCATTTGATCATTTCTGATCAAAATGTCAGAAACTCTGAACAGCTATTTAGTCTGTTTTGATTCCAGGTTGAAAACAGAAAAGGCAAAAGTCATTTTAAAGCCAACATAAAGAAAAAGATGACTTTGATACTATTAGCTATTTACTTATTTCCTGTTTTGGACATAGTGAGAGTTGCATTTTCTGAGCAGCTTGCCTAAGAGGAACAGAACTAAGTTCTAGCAGTGCTACTCAGAAAAGCCCTAAATGAAAATTATCCTAGCCTGGCTGACTGCAGGGGAAAGCTGCAGTGTTTCCTCATACGATAATAAGGAATATGTGTTTGTTCACTCTTCAATTTTCACTCTGGGTTGACACGTGGAAATTGAATGCTAACAAATGAAAGCTTGGGAGAGGAAAATGTTTTTACAGAGCAGATGCCTTGTTAAACTTGCCATATTTTTCTGTCTCATGATGAGCAAAAGAAACTAGATCCTAAAAAAATAGATTTAAATGCTACTGTTTTCAACTGATATAGGGCATTGTTTAATCTTACTAATAGAGCTATTTTATGTGTTGCGTGTTTTTAGTTTTGAAGGAAAGTGACCTATTAGATATTTACTTTATAAAGAATCTGATGATATGGATGGTAAGATATAAAAAATGATTGGAAGTGAAGACCAAGGCAAGTAAATATTCTTGAAATGCTGCCTGATTCATTATTGATCTCTTCCATTTTTTTATTTCTGTAAATTTAAATCCATGAAATTACGTCAGCGTAGGGCAAAAAGAATACATGGGTGGCTTAGCTTACTCTCTGCCCTCAGCCACTGTTATGTAAGCGAAAAGTAGCTGTGACTACAGTGGAAAGAGAGGGTGACAAGGCAGGATGTGATTATGGACATGCATAACTTGTTAATTTAGATTTTATTATATTTGACAGAAAGATAAAATGATGACAAGCTAAAAAAGTAAGAATAACTTATCATATTCTGTTATATGGCATTTTTATTGAACATTTCTGGTTAAATGCCACTTACTTTCAAGTTAGACCAATCATTTAGTAATTGGTAAAAAGAAGTGCTTCAGGGAAATTACTCTTACCTATACAAAGGCTCAGTTGCAATCTTTTTAAAGCCGTTGTCAATTTAAATAATACCCAGATTATAGGATTTGATATTTGTTTAAATATTCTAAGGCCCTTTGATTTGGGGCTTTATAATAATGAATATTTTCCTGGAGTGCTCAGCACAATGTAGGAGTGGGCTCATAGACCAAATCTCACTTAGCTAGAAACTCCTGTTGACTCAAATAAAAGCTGACTTGAGCATTGGGTTAAAAAGTCCTTTTAGCAGCATGTATAAGAGAAGACAAGTGTCATCTGTTATTAAAGAAAAATACGGTGTAGTGTTCAGCTGACACACTGCTGGTTTGCATGTATGTATCCCTGTTGCTGGCGGAAGCAAAGGAGTTGTTGAATGAATCTAACGACCTTGGGAAGCTTCTCAGCCTGACAGCATTTCCTTCCTTCCTTCCTTCCTTCCTTCCTTCCTTCCTTCCTTCCTTCTTTCCTTCCTTCCTTCCTTCCTATGATTTTTTTAAAATTATTTATTTTTTATTAAGTTTTGGTTTTGCTGAAGTCTTCACTTGTGGTTACACCATGCATTCCCAGACAGGAAAATTTCCAACTAATGCACTCTAAGCCATGAATTCTTGCACATTTTTTAAGCAAGCAGTTTTCTTACTCAGTTACTAGCAGGATCAGTCTTTAAAGTAAATCCACTGATACTGCAGTTCTAAAAACATACCGAATACTTCTTTAAGACAAATGCTTAGGGCATTTTGTTTTCTTTAATAGTATATTTGGCCCAATTTGCTATTTCCATCTTTTATTGTGAGCCATGTCTTGCAATGTTGTGCAGTCTTTCTGAGGTAAATTGAATGAATTCTGGACTCTGCATGTTGAAAGCAGAAATCTTACTTAAGCTTTTGTGGTTTTGATGGTGTAAGAAGTGGGTGTTAGAGCTGAAAAATGCTTCAAGATTCAGCTCAGTATTTATGGGGAGATTATTTTATTGTTTCTCTTTCCCATACAGGTTTATTGTGGATATCTATTTCATATATAATTTCCTAAAACACACTTTACAACACTTTGACTGTGTGAACTGCCTTTATCTAACACTAAATTCAGGTCTTAGCTTTGCAGTTATTTCATTGTGACTGCTAAAGGTTAACTGGACCTAAAAAATAATATCTGATTTTATAGTATTGATACTGTTATTTCTTTTATCTTTTAAAATAATCATGGAATTCAAAGAAAATCCTTATCAAGTATGATTTTCCCAACCCCAGTTGTTTGAAATATTAAGTATGATTGATTTTATTTCCAACAATGCCATTCTGAAATATTGCAACATTCTTTTGTCCTAACTTCTTTTTAATTTTCTCCAGAGATCAAAAATAGCAGTGTATGAAAAGATGTGGACCTACATGAAATCAGCAGAGCCATCAGTGTTCACTAGGACTACTGCAGAGGGAGTAGCTCGTGTCCGCAAATCCAAGGGCAAGTTTGCCTTCCTGCTGGAGTCCACCATGAATGAATACATTGAGCAACGGAAGCCATGTGACACCATGAAAGTGGGAGGAAATCTGGATTCGAAAGGCTATGGCGTAGCCACACCGAAGGGTTCTCCATTAAGGTGGGTGGAATAGTATAACAATATAAAATGTGTTGTTATAGTATTCCACCTTCCCTGATGTCCCTGATATAGCTCTTTTTGTTTTGTGTGTGAACATGGTATGTTATTTTTCTTTTCTTCCATTTCATATTTTTTTGATCAACAAAGGTAACCATTTCTAATTGCAATATGGATTTAGCAGCTACAGTTGGCATATCTTTCAAGGCCATATAAAAACCAAACTGGTTGAACACTAGCTACTTGAAGTCAGCCTCAATAGAATGAACATCAGCTCTATTCTATTTCATCAGCTTTTTTCACCAAATTCAGCCCTTTATAGCAGTATTATGCCTACATGATCTGCATCAGTATCTGCATAAATAATATGCCTACATTTTATGTTTTGTTTATTGATCTTGGCTGCTAATTTCTGAATAAGAAGCTGCTTGTAACATCTTTTTTCAAATGTCATTACTTAGAAGCAATTAGTCCTTCATTAAAGCAACTTCATTAAAGTACTTTTATTAAAGCACCTTCTTATTTAGAAAAAAATAAGTTTGTGTGTCATTATGCATTTCAGTACTGCCTTCAAACTCACCAGTATTTTCTTTACCATGGTATCAGTCACATCCAGTTAAGTAGGAGAGTTTTTGATTCACAGGCAGAACACTTTGCTTTTCATTCAAATTGTCAGGGAAACAGAAGTGAAGGTTCTGTTCTAACACTAGTTCTGTGTTAAAATTGGCAGTATTTACCATTGTGTTGTATTTAATGCGTAAGGCAAACAAAACTTGCCTTTTTCCTCTGGTAGACTTGCCAATTTTCTTCAAAGCGAAAGAGCAACTAGCGGATTGAGGGAGTGTGGCCTGTGGAGTCTTACTGTGGACTGTGGAGCCTGTGGAGAGATAGGATGCATGTGGGTGGGGAAGAAGGAATGGCCCACGGAACAACCAATGCCCTGCTGCTCACATTTCACCCATGTGCTCATGATAAGGGGTTACAACAGGCTCTGGTGAAATAGATTCACCAAGGAGACAAAACGGGTTGAAGGGAGGAGTTGCAAGTGCAGATCGAGCCATAGTTCTGCAGGAAGTAACTGAGGAGGTACCTGTCTGCATCCGTGACCATAAAGGAGACATCATTATGCAGATAACTAGACTCACTCTTAACTCACCAATTTAACCTGCACATAATACTACAAACCTCAATACCCTTAACTGTATTACACAGATGGGAACAGGAGTATCATCAGAATCATTTCCATCTGCAGCAAAAGATTTGTATATGCAGGGGAAAATCAGACCAGTTATTTCAGTGATTGAATATGAGGTTTTGGTCCTCTCAGTGCCTCTCAGATTTAAAAACTGTCACCTTCACCACTGAATAAAGTGGTAAGAGAACATAAGGAGGTGAGAGAGGGAAAATTACAACAATAAAAATATTAATTATAAAGAAAAACATGTCCAGAACTCATGGGGTTGCTAAAGGTAGAAGGCAGCAGATAATAGGAGAGGCTGATCTATTATCTGGGTATATCTTCAAAGCACTGATTTTTTATTTTATATTTCTAATAGATTGCTATCTCCTCCTCAGTGTTTCAGACAACCTAGAAGTGATAGGCAGCACTGCAGTTTAGTGAAGCTGCTTTCCCATAGTGAGGAAATGCCCATTGCTGACAGTCACGCTTTACTGTGCCAAACCTAGGGGAAACTTTTTAGGAATCACTTTAGCTGCTGTCATATATATCCTAGCAGTGGGCTGTTTGCTCTAAGCATGCTTTATGGTGCTCTTTAGTCCCTCTCACTCTTTTCTGCAGAGTATCCAACACCAACAACAAGAGACAGCCTGTTCTAATGAGCACTAGTAGCCAGTGGAAGTTGGTTTGTGTCAAATTTGGGCTTATTTCAGGTTTATTCAGTTGGCTAGATAAAAATATCTAGGACTAATGGGGCTGAGACATAAAGCAGTTAGACTTAGAAGGAAGAGGGCCTAGTAAGACAGTTTAATAAGAACAGAGAGGAAGAGCACAACCTTGATTGTAAGGGTCAAGTGTGAAATCCTGGTTCCATCCCAGCTAAAGACCAAGCTCCCATATGTTTCAGTGAGGTCTTGGTCTCACTGGGGATCAGCAACTATCATTAGGGTGATTTGATCAACAGCATTTAGTTTTTCACATCCTACCTTCAAACATTTTTCAAAAAGGGGAATACAGGGAATCCTACCCAACCTGAAAATTGGACCAAATCTTCTTTCAAGCTGTCTCGACTGGCTGTCAATGTCCATGCCTTTCCCGAGCCTTTCTTTCACATGTGCTAAGCTGCTTGTTCTCCTGCTGCACCCCATTCCCTCTCCAGCCCCAGTGACAAACCTCAGGTAGCACATCAGTGCTGCTTACCTATTAAAAACATTAAGCAACACACTTAATGTTCTGGACAAAAATAAAGAACAAGCAACACCTCACATTCGTACCACCTTTTCCATGTATGTCTATAGACAGTAGTGCTTACTGAAAGAGGGGAAAAGCTTTCTACCCCTGTGCTTTTGAACAGAAAAGACTCAGCTGCAAATTTTAACTGCATTTGTCAGTATTTTCTGAATTGTTTGAAATTGTAGAATATGCTGGTTTTGCTATTTTGACTGCATCCCACATGGTAGTGTTTCTGTTACTGATCAGATGACTTATGTAACTGCTGCCTACGCAGATAATTGCAAATATTGAACATGCAGTTTGAAATCCATGAAGGGCAGACTAACTAAGCTCATTACATAAATTAGTCAAAAGACAGAATTTGCTACGGGAGTTGTAAATTCTATATTTTATTTAATAATCATAATTTCCTATTTAAGTTATGTGTAGACCACAAATTACTTCATGTAGTTCGCAAATAATTGCAAGTAGCATATAAATGTTAAACATTCACACTCTATTCTTGGTCTGTTCAGGACTAGGG